CCCAGTGCTGCAGTTTTCTATCTATTTTTTATTTTTTGGGAAAATTTCAAATAGATTTGCAGCCCGCTGGGCGTCCAATGAAATACCTCGCAGCTATTTTTGGTGGCTTTAAAGGTTTTGATAATTTACGATGCAAATTGACGAAATGCTGTCAGAAATTTTTGTGGGTGGGGTTGGTGGGTGGCATGATTTACTGGCAGCATTCAATGAAGAGAAACTCAAATAAATGTCACATGAGTGTCGTAGTTTTTTTTATTTTGGCCGCGAGCCTCGTGCAACTCGTTCAAAGTAAAAAGTCTTAAATAAAAAATTTATAAGCTAAATAAAACCGCTGCAGCAGCACAGGCCATTGAGGATGGGGGCTTGTGCAGAGCTCGCTCGACTCCTGTTGTTGATGTCGATTCCTTTTGGCTTTCCGGGCTGGCAGTCGCGGCTTCAGCTTGGCGTGTTGCTGCCACACACACACACACGCGCGCGCGTGAACTCACAGGAAAAACTTTGAAATCGGCAGCTACGTGCGTCTAAGCCAAAAAGCGCCAACTTTATATCGTTGACGTTGTCGTTGCTTTTACTTTGGAACTTCAAAAGACTTTCAGCTTATATCGTACATCTTTGCTGCCAGTTTGTTATTTATTTTACTTATATTTTTATTTTATTTTTTCGTGGCCCGCATGCAGGGCACGCTTATATTTCTTTGAGCATCCCAAGGCCCAATTGTCGAAATTGGAATGCCAAATAATTTAGGCAATAATCAAAATAAAATCACAATTAATATTAAGCAGAACAGCAGCGGCTAGAATGGCATAATTAACTTGTTGCACGCTCCTTTTGGATTGCAATCTGGGCCAATCTAATCGCATGTATCCGGCAAATATTTCTAGGCCACAAATGGCACAAATACACAAATCCAAAAATACTTGTGTGTGGGCATTAGTGGCAAATTAAAGAGAGCATAAACACGAAATCAGCACATGCGAACTCTCTGTACAAAGCAGCTCTGTCCGCCTTTCAAATCCGCACATAAAAATTGTTAACGGAAGCGAAAATTAATTAAAGCCATGGACAAGGGCAAAGTACGCGCTGGCACGCAACTCACTGGCTCTCAGGCGGCGACTGGGGGCCGTGAGGAATGACTCCACTGTTGTGGACTCTAACAGAGCAGGAGTCTGGCCAGTTGGGAGGCTGGGCTGCAAAATCAAAATATGAGCACCCCGCGAACGTTACGCGCTTTTAGACGTGCTCAAATATTTGCGAAACGTGTCAAAAGCGTTGCAAACTTTGCGCTTCAAAGCACCGACCACCACGCACCCACGCTCCCGCTGCCAGCAGTAAAAACAATTGATTGAACGCTGTGCCCGTGCAGCAAGGGGGATGGGCACCGGCAGTCCCAAATGTCACTGGGTTCGCACAGGCAGCTGCGTGTGGGTGGCAGGTGCGCCCACACCTGCCTCCCTGTGCAGCTGTGCGGTCAGGCAGGCAAACGATAACCAGATAGTCGACCAATGAACACCAAAAACAACATGCGCCAATTGTTACTAAATTCATTAAAATTATCAAAATTATTTTGCCCGCACAATATGCCGAACAACCTTGTGATAGAGGCCATCTAATAAAGCTGCTCAGATATTCACAAGTATACTGAAGATATATTTGTTACACTTTTTATACAAATCAAGGCTCAACTTATCGCTGACGGCTGACGTGCTGTGGACAGCTGCGGCTGGCTGACAAACGAAATGTCAACGTCAGTGTGACGTTTGCTAGGTGCTTGGCTGAATCATAAACAACATTGATAGATGCCTATATTGAGAAAATAGCGAAAAACTAAATAATTTTCTAATCAATATTCAGTGGGCTTTCATTTTACGTATTTCACAAGATGATAGCTTTAAATATTCTTTGAAAACATTTTCAAAACAATTGATTCCTAAGTAACAAGAATGTTGAATATAAATATCGTTTGCCTTCTTTTGTATCCCGCAGATTCTTCTGATTCATAGGTACCTAAGTTTTCTATTGAAATTGTCTGACTATCAGTTACTCCGAAACTCTTGTATTTTGTTTATATAGTTTTGCAGTGACGGATACAGATACCTTGCGACCGCAACGATATTATGTATTTTATTGATACTTTTGTATATAATAGAAAGTTTTTATTGCCCAGATGCATTTGTTTCTTAAAAATAATTTATACATAGATACTCTCGTAATCTTTTTTAATTTACTCCAAAATCTCCAGTATCTCACAGATAACTGATGGAGATACATTTGTATTTTGCAGATACTTTTGTATCTTACCGATGTAGCCCAGAGTAACTTGGCAAACAAACTCATTTGGCACGCTTCGACTCTACAGGCACATAATTAAATTCTACCCAAAACTCAACTCGGGCAGCGGCAACGACAACAATAATAACAACAGTAACAGGAACAATAACAAAAGCAACAAACAGTAACAGATTAAACAAAAATCTGGCAAGTCGCAGTCGACAACTAGGAAAATGCTCGCGCAAGCAGTTTGCCGTTGCCAGGACAAGTTAATTTATGGCACTCACTGAACCAGGCAGATAGCACAGACAACATCCAGCCGCCAGAGTAGGCAACAGACAACAGACAGCAGTAGCAGCAGCAAGTCAAATGGCGGCTCGACGTTGATTTTGTTTTGCGCTTGAAGCTGCATTTTATTATACCCCAAACAAAATGTGTTAAAGGGTATAATAGTTTTATGCGAAGGCAGAGCGAAGCAGGATCGCGCCGATCAAGTTCATTAGACATCGACCGATAGCTAAATCCGTAAAATCCGTAAGTAAACACTTTATTTTTATGCATATTTGCCATATGCCGCATATTTGATATCATAGCGTTGGGCTATGCTATTAAGCTCTCCATTTTTCAGAAAGATCAGACAATTAATTAAAGCCTTAATTAATTAGGGAAGCATTTTCTATGCATATTGTGGGGAAGAGGAATGTTCAAGAGCAGTCCCTACGCTCGTGCATATAAAATATTGCTGGGCAGCATTGTGCTGTGTTCAGGGTATCTGCTAGTCGGGCAGAGCGGACTAGAGCACTCTTACTTCCTTTATTTTATTTTTGTGTGTGTGTTTTTTTTTTGCGAAAACTTTTGCTAATTTGCGGTAATGTTAATGCTGAACTTTGCACAAAATTAGTCAAGTTCTGGCGCGTCGGATTAAGCGCAATGTTACGCCAAAGTGTTAAGTTGGAAATAAATGTTGACACTTGCGGTAAAAAGCGAGTTCTTGGGCCGCAACATAAACAAAAGCGCCGAACGTTTTAAAACAACCAACCACGAACACACACAGTCAAACACACACACACACCGACACACATCTTTGCCAGCGCCAGGCGCCATGAAATTAAGTTTGGGCCCCCTTAAAAGAAGCATGCAGCTCGGCAGCGGCTGTCACAGGTGCGCGCCGCATAAAAAAGCCAAATCGTCCCTCCCCACCCCACACCAATCAGGGCGCAACCCCTGCTGCTGGCAACGCGCCGGACTGCAGTTAATTATGAGTAAGTTGGCCATAACCGCAACACTTGCGCCATGCAATTCCTTAGGCCGAGCGGAGCAGCTGAGGCATGCCAAGCGCTTGCCAAAGTATTTTGTGTGGCAAAATTAATTTATAAGTTGGGTCCGCGACAGTTGCGGCAGGCCGGGGCGTTCAGGAGACGGGGCGACGGGGCTACCAGGGGCGATGGGCATTGGCAACCTGGGACAACTTTTGGCGTGTTTCGTGGCAAAGTTACGACACTTGCCAAGAGTTTCTGGACGGCCGTTCAAAATTTATAAAGTGTCATATGTTAGGAAATTTGCCACACGGCACTTTGCATAAAGTTAAGCCAAGTCAAATTATTTACGTAAAAAATTGCTACAGCTGAAGCCAGTTTGCCGGAGGAGTGAGGGGAGGGGGTGAAGCTGTCACCCGCTGACGATGATACAATTATTGGTTTGTATGCGCACAATTTACATTCACATTACACACACCCACCCACACACACACACTGAGACTGTTGTTGGGTTGGGGGCTAAAATCGTTAGAGGCAGAGGCTTGTAATAAATCAAACCAAGTGAATAAATCATAACTGTGCGAGAGTGTGTGTGTGTGTGAGTGAGTGTGTATGAGTGTGTGCATTTCATAGTCGCAGCTTGTCACATGCGAAAGTGAACGCGCCGCCCGCCGTGAACGACAAGTTGAAATAATGACATGAAAATTGACAATTTTATTCCTACTTAACTTGCTGAATGAACGAATGAATATATCAAGCCTGAATGTCTCCCTATCTCTCACGCCAACTCGCACACTCTCCCTTTCGATGTATGTGTGTGTGTGTGTGTGTGTGCTTTATACTCTATAGCAGATATTTTATGCACAGTTTGACGTGCGAGCGAATTGAAGCCAGAATGAATGACAGCCAGTGACTAACTGAGTGATAGAGCAACAGCTGTCAAAGTGTGAATGGCACACAGACTGATTCACACATACACACACACACACACAACCGCTTTGGTTTGTTTTTCTTGTAAATTGCTTTTGATTTGCATATGCGGAAGTGTATTTAATGATATAGTCAGCATATATATGTATATTTATCCATATCCATATCCATGCTCAAACTGGACAGGAAATGTATCGCTGCTTTAATTTCAATTAGTTGCCTGAGGCTAGATTTTATTGTCCGTATCGAATTGTCTTTTCAGACATTGATAAGCTAGATAAACATAATTTATACGCAGCATATAAATCAATGCTTCTATTAAATTATGAAATATGCCTGCTTGCCCGTAGATGATTCCGGGTGGAACTGGTAGCTGTCAATTGTATTGCACATCGCTCGCGTCACACACAAGCAACGGCACAGAAATTGCACATAAACATGTAAATAAAACCCACTGAATGGCTCAATTAAATAATCGCCCACAATAAATAAAGTCTACAGAAGTCTACAACGCACTCGCAATCGGCAGCTGTGGAGGCAGCTCTGCTCTTAGTTCACTTAACCAGTAGCAAAATGAGACGACAACGCGACGCATCTCTGAGCCTCCAAGGGAGCCTGCTTGTGGCGATCGCGATCTGTGCCGTGGTGAGCGGCGCACCACAGTCGCAGGCCACAATTGAGGAGCTGCTCAAGGATGGCGACGTTGGAGTCTCAGACACCAAAATGGCGCTGGTCACGCTAAGCACGAGCAGCTCCAGTGAGGAGGACAGCGCATCGAGCAGCAGCAGGGAGGTCAATGTGTCGGACGATTTGATATTTCTAGCTCGCAAAACTGCGACACAAATGCCGGCAGCAAAACACACGGAGGACGCCTCTTCCTCCGAAGAACTAGATGAGGCGCCACCAACTGTTGCCGAAGTCGTGCCGCCCATTGATATGAGCGCATTTGTGGCGCTGATACCCGCTAGGCAGGTGCAGGCCATTGCCGACAATTACTATCGCCACGATAAAGAGGTCCAGCGTGCGTATGCCTTTCTCAGCAGCGAATTCTTTGCGGAGATGAAACAGCAAATACTGCAGCTGCCCGAAGTGCTGGCATTTACGCGCTATCTGAACGCCAGCGGGCTGGATGTGCTTAAGCTGACGCAGACCGTGGTGCAGGCTACTAAAGCAACCACGACACTGGCCTTGGAGCCGACGGACAGCACAACGGTCAGCGGTGCGTATGAGTGACCCGGCCGCAGACCTGGCCCTGGCCATGACATGGCACAAACAAACAACTTGCTGCATAACTCTCAAGTCATCCAAGTGTCCCTTGTCCGTTGTCCGTCTGTGCCTATGCGACCATGGCATTATGCTCAATGTCATGGTCCAACACAACTGTCTGCTGCAACCTTATCAATGTTCACACATGCTCGCCTCTGCTGGAGCAGCGACAGCACCTGGACTGAATTATTTGCAAATAGCAGCAAGCTATGCAGACAAGGCCAAACGAAAGGGTTGGCGATGGTTGGGGGGTGGTTGGGAGATATTGGAATAGAGTACTAGGATGTCCCAGTTATGCGCTGGACATGTGCATTTAATTAAATATTTTGCCTGTTATTAGATTGAATTTGAAATTTTGCTTGCAGCCGTGGAAGCATTGGGTGGCGTCAATGGGGAGCCCAGCTTGAAGGAGCTGAATGGACTGCATGGCCTGGTCGACAGCGTGCTGGATGTGCTGCCACAGGATCAAATATTGGCTACGTTTTTCGATAAAATTGAAACGGATCAACAGTTTTCCAGGCTCATCGACAGCATTGGCACGCCAAAGTTCTCTAAAATCTTAAGCAATTTGCAGGTGAGTCACAGCAGCTGCCATTCCCCATGGCGCTCACCTCCGGCACGTACTTGAATTTCAAAAGTCTCGATCTAGGCACATTTGAAATTTTCTTTAAACAATTATTGAATTGTGTGTGCGGGTGTGTGAGAGTTGGCAAAGGAAACAGCACTTGGAACTAGGCAGACCGCGGATGCCTAATAATTTTCGAAGCAGACGTGAGAAAAATTTTATAGTAGCATTTTATTGGGCCTAATGCTTTATTACGTTCCGAGTGATTCGTGTTTCGTGTTTCGTTTGGCCCATCTCTTACTGCTGGCCCGAGCATATGTACTCGTATACAAATCAACTTCCGCCAGTTTGCCGCTGAACTTCTCCCGAAGACCCAATTTTAAAGCAGACTTGCCAAGTGCCCGGGCATTTTTTCCTTCTTCTAATTGGCAATTGAGCTGGCCTACGTGCGGCACATACTTTATTTATGAAATGGCGAGATGGCAAAAAGCAGAACGCGTTTGTTTTCCCTAATGCGCTGCGCCCGGCATCGAAGCCAATTTATGTTTATGTGTGAAAATATGCCAATTGATTTGGCGCAAATGGAATGCCTATAATTGAAAATAGAAAACCTGAGCATGTTCTGGCTTAGGTAAAAGCAGTCGCAAATCGCAATAAAATATCCTTGATTCGTTGTGCTGATTGACAACGAGCCTCGAGCATATATTTCAATCTAATTTTATGGCAATTAACAAGTGAGAATGCCACGCGGATAACTAATTGTGGAATAATACATTCATTGTATAGTCAACATTTATTTTGTACCCAGCTGGCAAGGGGCGTAGAATATAAATTTGCAAGGGTATGCAGAGGCAGAAGAAGGTTTTTCCGACCTCATATATATGATAAATTCAATGGATCGATTAATTTAGACGGAAGAGATTCGGGCGGACGGGCAACTCGATTGTTTGAGAACTCATATACTTTATAGAGCTGCATGTGTCGTCTTTTGCAACAAATCATTTTCATTTTACAGGGTATACATTTTAATTAATTCTTATACTCAATATTAATATATCGCAGAACATTACGCTTTCATTATTTGATAGTTTTTCCATTCAAATTTAACACTTAATTTTCTATATTCCTCTTCCATTTACAACTGATTATGCATGAAGAAAAAAAACCCGATTCGTTCTTTGCAAGTTTCACTCCAAACATTTGATTTTTATGTACCTCATCCAAGTCTTGTTCAATTTGTAAATATTCGTGACATCAAAAGTGAAATGATTTAATGGGTTAAGTCAATTGACTTATTATATTATTTAATTTCTTTCAGAATTCTGTTCCAATACGCAATCTGATCTTTGAGCTGCACAATAATGGCATCTATATAACCCGAATAGTTGAATCCCTAAAAGCGTATTTCTTTTTGTCCAGCTTTTAAGGATGAGGCCGTGTTAATGTATTAGTTTCGAATCGGCTAATTAAAAGTTAAATTTAATATTTCCAAGCATAGCTTTGCATAGACTGTCGAATACTTATAAGAAAAGAAAGACACCTGCTAAATACGCAAATGTTTCTTTTTTGACTTTTAAGACTTTTAAGAATGCGAAACGAAAAGAATTTCGATTTCGAGCATATGCCAGGCAATTATTTAGTGGCTCTGCCCCTGGGAATTGGCAGTGGTATCTAGAGAGTGTGCAAAAGGAAAAGGGCGCATATTAATAACGCTTTCAGGCACCAAAAAAAGAGGGTTAAATGACGCAAAGGTGGTGGCTTTTGGTGCGTCAAAAGTTTATCCACGAAAAAAGTTGGAAACTGAAGCAGCCTCTCTGATTTATGCCGCTTCGCTTGGCTGTACCGGAGCCAGCTCTCCATGGCCAGGGCCGGAGTCGGAGCTGGGGCCAGCTCCAGCGCAACAGTTGCAACTCTCTTAATGTCGGCGTTTATTTGAATAAACTCAAACTTCTGATTTCACAGGGCAGCTGCTGGCAGAGTGGCAGCAAAAGCGGCAACAAAGTTGCAAAACTTTCTCGGTTAACTGATTTCTATACCGACACCTGCAGCTAGGCACCAAAAAAATGTGCGCTCGCGCGCCCCCCAGGAGACTCATAATTTAAGCAGAGTATATCAATAAATTACGCATCCTGCTGCCAGCACTTTTTTAAAGTAGATAAAACGCCGGTCGCTGAAATTTAGAATACATACGCACACTCTCTTACTTGTGTGTATCCATGTGTGTGTATGCAGCAAATGAAATTGTTGCTGATCAAGAAGCTCGGCCAACCCCTGGCCAGGCCTTGGTCTATTGCTGACCAGCTATGGACGGGCGCACTGACGGTTGCTGCTGATGGTGGTGGCTTTCATGCCCAACCATAACTCAATGCGGTCCAATTGATTGCCCTTTGGCCCGTCGCTGGCGTCGCTGTAAACATGCAAGCTGACATAAGCTACGCGTCGTGCATCGGCTCCATTAATCAATTACAGACACACCCTCCAACGGCAGGCAAAGCGCGCTGTGCAGTGCGTACGCCATGCCGACAATCACAACATGTCACAGAAGTGTCTAAATTCAATCTGCACCAAAAACAAAAACAAAAAAAAATACGGCAACCAAATAAAAATAACCAAGAACAATCGTCAATCTCAGCTGGCAACGAGCAGCAGGCACCTGGGGGAAAAGCGGAGCTTTTCATTCCCAAATGTCATTGTAGCAGATTTTGGAAAACTATCGGAGTCAAATAAATTTACGCTTTAACTAAAAGCAAGTGCATTGTACCCTGTAGTTTTTAAAACAGATCGGTTCGTTTCCTTCGCGCATCAATATTCCGCAACCCTTGGCCATGAAGCTAGTTACTTATCTGGACAATTCTGATGGCGCCGGCTTACCCGGCTTACCCAGCCTGCCAAGCATCCCAAAGTACACAAATGATTCGGAGTTCTGTGTGCCGTGTCCCGCTGAACCCACGAAAAATTTGCAACAGTTCTATCAGGTGCAGGAACGCCTGCAATCCGATCTGCTAGCCTGCGACGTGCGCTTCTCGCTCTTTGTGGCGGCTGCCAACAGTTATATGTACGAGTCGCTACTGCGGCCCTTCCCCAAGGAGTTTCTCGACAGCAATCAGCGTCCGGACATTAATGCGATCTTCGATACCGTTGCCGACATTGATCGACTGGAAAGCATTCTCGCCCAGCTAATGAAAGGAAACTACAGACGCTATCACGTGAAAGTGATGAATCTTCTGCACGCTGTTCTGGTGCGGCACGGCGAGCGGGTGGCATTGAGCACACTGCGACCATGTGAGTTCGAAGATCTGTATACGCATCTGCAGATTGGGACGCCACGCATGGCGCCAACACAGATCTTTGAGGTCACACCGAGTCTGAAATGTGCACACACTAAGGAATACACCAGTCTGCGCGAACAGTGTCCGGTCCGGATAGGATTTTATGGCGCCAAGCTGGAGAAGCTATATGCCATGCTGACCGTAGGCTGCCTACCCATGGACAAGCCCTTGGTACTGGCCAGGAATGTGGACGATGCGCTCCAGCTCAGTCCAGAAAGTCCTGGCTGGGGCGGCTCACGCTGTGGCGCCCTGCTTAGATGCGTGGCCGTTGTGGAATATGTCGTGGTGCCCGCGCATGTCTCTGTGGATGATGATAATGGACTTGTGACCATCAGCGAGGCCAGCTGCATGCAGATCTCGTATCTAATGTTCTTTGGCCAGAATTTTGCCAAGTTTGAGAGCCCGCTGATGCGTCAGCCCAAGTTAGCCGTCAATTGGAATGACACGGTCAAGTGGATGGAGGACAATAAATATGCACTTTCGCTCGGTGTATATTTGATGGTTTTATCCCTGACCTCGTCCAGCGGACGTGGCATCTTGCACAGATTCGCTTGCACGGGCCTGCATGTGCTAAGGAAAGGATTTCTGAAAATTTAAGCGTTCTTCTTTCCCCCTGACTGACTAATTGGCTAATATAATCACTTTATTGCCCCTTCCTCGCCGAGAGCAATAAAGTGTTTATATGCGCCAATAAAGTCAAGACTTCCTGAAATGCAAACCTTCAATCAAAAGAGCTTTAAGTAAACAAAATTTAAAACGGATACAAAAACCAGAAAGAACAGCTACATTCGGCATACCAAATATTAAATGCCCTGCTAGACATATTGGTTACGGCAAAAGAATTGAATGAGAAAGCATCGAGATTGCTTGGTGAAGGTATCTTAACGATACAGAAGCGTTTTCCATTCCAATTCCCAATTATTATTTTCCAACGAACTTTTCTATATAGCTATATGATATTGTGGGTTGATGTTGATAGGATCCCAAATATTAAGTTTGATCAAGATTTCTTGAAAAACAAGCTATATAATATAGTTACTCGATCTAGTCTACTCCGTAATATTCACAATCTTCAATAGCGAGGCGGACAGTCGCAATGTTTCATAACGATAGCATTTAAACTGAGAGACTTGTTTGCATATCGTTGCGACTGATCAGGAATGTATATACATTATGAGTTGAGAGATGTCTCCTATGCGTGTCACATGTCGTTATAGTTTTCGAATACCCTCTGCAAGGGCATAAAAATGGAAATCTAAAACACAGAAAGTGCTGAAGTCTAGCGAGGGAGTTAAGGGCTGGAGTGTGGGCAAATGTTGGCATGAGTCACACGCAACTAGCTATAAATAACAACAATTTAGCATTACAAGTGACGCAGTAAAAATTTATACGCTCTCGCACATTTTCAATTTTCTGCAATTTTTCTAGCAATTGTGTGAAATTCCTTGCGGCCATTCGGGCGACTCTCAGCAGCTGGAGCTGGCTCGGTCGCGGAGGCTGCATAAAAAGGACATGGTCAGATTTGTGTTCGCGCGTGTGTGTGTGTGTGCAAGCATGTGTGGGCACATAAACCGAGTGCAGGCAGTCTATGGTCTTATGCCATTTCCCCAATAGCGAATACTGGAGCATACTGAAACTTGGCATTATGTGTTGCCGGACACTTTTAGGGTCACACAATTTAGCAGCTTGGCTGGGAGCGTTTTTTTATTTTTATATTCTTGTATGGCGACCACAGCTGTCTGTGTGTGTGTGTCTGTGTGTGTCTGTGTGTGTTATGGCATTTTTTACATATGCTCGTCTAGTTGCTGCTACAAGTTATGCAGAGAATGCGCTGCCCCTTCGCCAGACATGGCCTGGCAAATGGCTGGCATTTGGAAAACGTAACTTGCGCTGACAAAAGGCATTCGCGAAATACTTTTGTTAACCATATTTCATAGCATTTAAGTGTAAGGCTTGCAATTACCCCCACTAAATGCGCTGGGGACTGTGCAAAAGCTATCAATTATTTGAGTTTGAGTTTGAGTTCGCAGCTACTATCATTACCCCTACGCCTGTGGACCGGGCTCCAGCAGCCATTAATAAACGCACACATCAAACTTGGCACTGTCACATAAAATTCAATTTAGTGGCTTTTATGCTAGAGCAACAGCAACAGCAACAACAACAAAAACGGAACTGGGCTAAGTCACAAAAAGGGCAGCAACCCTCATTGTCAGGTTTTTACGCAGCTAAGCTGAATGCACATTAGCATGAGCACGACTACAGGTTAAAGGCAGACAGGGATCTCCGTGGGTTGGGGTGCCGGTGGCTGGGGCACGCACTTACGACCGGGTCCCAGCTCGGATGGCAGTCCCTGCTCGGGCGCCCTGCCACGTTGCACTCGACCTGAAATCAAAATAAATGTCAACGCTTCTGTCACACAAAGCAAGAAACAGCCCCCACCCAGCCCCTTGCCTTGCTTGCCAGCTCCGCATTTTGGGGTCTAAGTTTTTGACTTCCTTAATGACAGTGTGGCAACGATGATGATGACAACAATCACGACGACCACGAAGACGACAACGACAACGACGACGACGACGGCAAGTAGCACGACGTCATCAATGGCATCAGCTCGAGTATCGGGCCACACAGGACACCGCGCCGCAAGTTGATGATGATGCAATTTAAGATCTTTTTGGCATCCCCTTCAAGCACGAGGCTGGCTGGCGCCATTCTTCGGTTTGATAATCTAACAAAATTGATAAGGTGTGAAATGCTTGATTTTATTTTCTGCGTGCTGCACAAGAAAATGCTTTTTCTTGCCAATTTCTTGCCTTTTTTTTGTTCGTTCCCTTTTTCACAGGCTGTTTAGGCCAAAAGTGTGCTGCCTTTGATGTTTTTGATGAGGTGTTTGTTTAGTTTTTGATGTTGCGCATAAGGCGACATTTTGTATATAATTCAGCTCCGGCTCTCTATCACCTTCTCTTCATTTTTTTCCAGCGTTTTCCATTTACATTTTAAACGAAATTTAATCCAGTTTATGTGCCCCTCACAAATCTGAGGCAAGCAGCGACATTTGCTTTGTAGTTTGTGTTGTCGCTTTGAAATTTAAATAAACAAGAAAATTGACTTTGCGGCATGGATTTTCTTCTGCCAACTAACTTATACTAGGACTATGCTCAATTTGTGTGTCCGCTTTTTGGACTGGCACTTTTAGCTGAGTACTGAGGGCTGAGGGGCGATTATTC